AGGTTTTCGAGACTACCAGTGGATCATTTATATATGAAGTGTTTTCACCCTATTTCGTTCAAGGCGATAAGGGGACTGGTAGTTGAATTTTCCCCATAATGAAATGACCTACTTATAAACGAAACATAAGTAACTTGGTCAATTGCTATGGTAAATACAACTTTGCTTCACCGACAATCCCACCACAGAATGTGATATTAGAAAATGCCTGACCTTCCTTAAAATTCACATCCGTCCTGTGACCCAAGGGCGCTTGTAGCAATGTAGTGTAATGGCTAACGCGTCGAGATTATACGATGCATGGTTCGAGTCCCGCTTCAAATGCTGACAGGACCTAGGCGCAGGCAAAACTGCAACGCAACCTGGGTGAGAACACCTTTTATGAAAGCAAGGATATGTGAAATTAAAATAAATTTATGGTTTACTTATATCATTGCGGAAAAAGTCCAACTACTTTGTCATCTTAAACGAAAAAGAGTGATTGCATTTCATATGTTAATGATAAATGTCATCTTTGGATCTAGGACTCGGTACATATGGACTTTGGAAATTATTGTGACTTCTGATAAAACGTGTTCGATATAAGTAACTTTCAAGACTATTAGTAGAGCTTGAATGAGAATTCAAGTTATCCAAGGCAATATAATGTGATAAAGGACTGATGGTTGAGTTTTCTCACTATGAAATCAATACGTCTCACATTTTTATTAGCACTCGCATAGCCTTGCTTTTCGAAAGGTATTTTCATATGGATGGATTGAGGTTTCGACCCAGTCTGGGTCTCATCACTATTCACTATGGGAATTGAACCCTGTTAGTGGATGGTATAATATTGACATTGTAACACTACACCATACCGTCACGACCATGTTGGGACAACGAGGTCAACCACTTATATACAGCGAAAATGGACTTTGAACAAAATTAATGTCCTCATACCTTTGATTAAACTATGCATGTGCTGCTGAGGTGATGCCATAGTTGGCTTCAACACTGCCAATTTGCGACAACGAGGTCAAACCACCCTACTGAGAGGAAATTGAAGAAAGGCGACTTAATACCAACATTACCGGTCATCAGCAGGCAGCAGCATACTTTATGTCTATCGCTACGTCTTTATGTGCACTTATCTACCGCAAGCAGTCCTCACCTAATTTTCCTTTTCACGAAGTTTTTCGAGACTTCCAGTAGATTTAAATTAAAAGCTGCGTTCACCATATTTCGTCTAAGCTAATGTAGGATTGGTAGTCGAATTTTCTAAACTCAGATGAGACTACCTTTCGCAAATCAAGAATATGGTAAATTAAGTGTAAACGTAAGGCTTATTCATGTCATTATGGGAAAATGCAACTACAAGTCAAATAAGGTGAATATAGACATCTTCTAAGTCTCGAATCACATCGTTCGAGGCTGCTCCACTTGCTTCACTGATCGAGGTTGAATCCGAGTTCCGGTGTTGGCAATAGAGCTTCATTGCGACTGAGGGTAGAGTTCAATTGGGTGTTTCGACTCTCAGTCACTGAGACCGGGAATGCATATTTGCTGCCAGTTTTCCTTTTTCCCATTAATGCTAACATGTTAGTATTGTGCCAGAAAAGCTGTTTTAGCATAGCCTTCTCCTTTTGAAATGCTCATCAGGACGCTAATCATTATAATTATGTGTAGTGTGATGTGGTGATGCATAGACTAACTACGAGGGTATGAAGAGAAAACTAAATTTCGCTTTGAACCCTATTGCGTCTAGCCTCCAAAAAGTCAATTTCCCTCCTGACCGGATGGCTATTCTGACTTGACCTTGGTCCGAAACCTCTTATTTTCGAAACAAGGATGCGCCAACGTGGTACCTCTTTCGCCAGACAGCTATAGCACATTTAATTGATAGCACAGACATTGTTCTCAAGATAAAGCAAAGCTTGCAGTCAGCTCCTGCGGCACTGTCTTTGGAAATAACAATTTTATATTCGCATTTGTATTGTTTTCAAACTTCATTTATATTTGTGCAATTTCGTTAGTGAGTTCGCATGTATCTGTCAGGTAGCCCATCATTTTCTGAATACTACTTACCACTACCTGCTTCAATTACAGTTCTATCCATTTGGCAATTTTTATCTCTTTAATCGAGCCGGTTTTTTTGATCATCGTAATGACCAGATTTGTTATTCATTTCGACTTTTTCTTGTAATCGAAATATGTGAGCTCCCAATGCATAGATCATTGCCTTGCGACTTTTAGTTGTGAGATTCCAGGCAAATTCGTGACCTGCTCTTTTTTGTCTGTACACATTTGAACTAGAGTGGGCTTAAGGATGGACGGATGTGGATAAGTGGGCCAGAGCTCTAGTTGCGACACTCAGGATGAGGTTGACCTGGTGTACAAAGGTCACCGAGACGCGGTCATCGTGAACATGTGTAATTTTATGCAAGTCTTATAGACAATGTAGAAGAAAGCCCCATCCGACCGATCCGTTGAACCAACGACCTGTAGAACAAGTCACTTCTGCATGCTACAGTAAACTCTAGTGGCTATATTTTGTTTATCTGTCTAGGCGACACTTTTGAAAAGGTGGCCACTTTTCCACATCGGCTACATATCGGTTTCCTTTAGTTGTACCGCCGTGGTATGACCTGGTTTTCACAACTTAATCAAGTCGCTATGGCGACTCCGAATAATGATCTCTGTGCTACGACCAACATCAGTATAGTCATGTATCCTTCCCGCATAGAACTGTCGACTAGGCGCATTGTCAGAAATTTTATCGGAATCGTGAGGGCACTGGACGTCCTGCCGACCAGATGTTTGGAGTCTCTCCTCCCTGTCGCTCGGAACTGCTAGGCTCTGTACAAAGCCAAAGAGAAGCGAGTTGCGGCAATGCTTCAATGAATGAAGTTCACTTGTCTCTGACGGGCCTCCACTCGTTGCCAAGGCTGGCTCTTTTTAATGATGACGCAGTACAGGATGCATTTCTCGAAGAAGCCTTGACAATGATCAGGGCTATATTGCAACTCTTAGTCGCTATCTAATGACCATGCTCCCCAAGAGAACTTGCTGAGCTAGAAGTGCTCGAGT